AAAAAAAAGCCCTGCTGAATGAGTGAACATGAACTAGAACGTGAGCCTTCTGACTAGAGAGCGGAGACCTTCAGGATGTCAAGGCAGCCACCAGCGTAGCAGGGGTTGGAGGCAGAGGAGGGAGAGTTAGTTTACAGGGTCCAGAGACTGTCACCAAGGCACTTTCCTGGGAAAAAAACATTCTGTCTAGTCACGGACCATTGAGAGGTGGCTGTGTGTCCGTTGTTCCCTTTCAGCCAATCAAGATCTGCATCCTCGGTCCTCCGGCTGTGGGGAAATCCAGTATTGCTGAAGAACTGTCCAAGTACTACAAACTCCATCACATTAAACTGAAGGACGTCATCTCCGAAGCCATAGCAAAACTGGTAACACTTTTAGCTACTTTATGGGCCATTTTAGTTACTCAATTCAGGCCGGGCACGGTGGCTCACGTCTATAATCCCAGCACTTTGGGAGGCCAAGGCGAGAGGATGGCCTGAGCCCACGGGTTCAAGACCAGCCCAGGCAACATGACAAGACCTCGTCTCCGCAACAAATCAAAAATTAACCAGGTGTGGTGGCGTGTGCCTGTAGTTCCAGTTACTTGGAAGGCTGAGGCGGATAGATTGCCTGAGCCCAGCTGGACGAGGCTGTGGTGGCCGTGAGCATGCCACTGCACTCCAGGCTGGGTGACAGAATGAGACTCCAACTCAAAAAAAAAAAGAAAGAAAGAAACACTTCTTGCTGGACATAGTGGCTCACTTGTGTAAGCTCAGTGCTTGGGAGGCCAACACAGGAGGATACCTTGAGGCCAGGAGTTTGAGGCTTTAGAGAACTGTCTCAAAAAAAACCCCAAAAAACAAAAAAGAAAGAAAAGAAATGAAATGAAATGCTTAAAGCTTTTCTTAGTCTTGTAATAAACAAGCAACTAATTTTACATGTTGGTAAACAAATACATTTGTTATTTTGGTTGGACTTTATTGATGGCCCCAGTTATGAAAACACAGAGTAGCCAGGCGTGGTGGCTCAAGCCTATAATCCCAGCACTTTGGGAGGCGGAGGCGAGAGGGTTGCCTGAGCTCAGTGGTTCGAGACCAGCCTGAGCAACATGGCGAGACCTCGTCTCTACAATAAATCAAAAATCATCCAGGCATGGTGTTGTGTGCCTGTGGTTCCAGCTACTTGGAAGGCTGAGGAGGAAGGATCACCTGAGCCCACTAGGTCGAGGCCATAAAAGTTCAACTCAAAAAAAAAAAAAAGGAAACACAGAATGTGCGGGGCTTTCCTTGGAGAGACAGACCGTTTCTCCTGGGCTGCCCTGAACCAATTTGGCCTCCAGCTGTGGCTGAAAAGTATATCTTGTATTCTATCTGTTGATCTGTTGACGTGAACATGTTTAAAAAAGTTATTATTTGTTCTGAGTCGGAGTATCACTCTGTTTTTGTTTTTTGTTTTTTGTTTTTTCTGATTTGGAGTCTCACTCTGTCGCCCAGGCTGGAGTGCAGTGGCACGCTCATGGCAGCCTCTACCTGCTGGGCTCAGGTGATCCATCCGCCTCAGCCTTCCAAGTAACTGGAATTACAGGCATGCGCCACTACGCCCAGCTAATTCTTTGATTTATTGTAGAGATGAGGTCTCGCCAAGTTGCCCAGGCTGGTCTTGAACCCGTGGGTTCAGGCAATCCTCTAACCTCGGTCCCCCAAAATGCTGGGATTACAGGCACAAGCCACCACGTCCAGTAGAGTCTCACTCTGTTTCCCAGACTGGAGGGCAGTGGCATGCTCATGGCCACTGCATCCTTGACCTGCTGAGCTCAGGTGATCCTGCAGTCTCATGCCTGGCTATTTTTTATATGTGTATATTGTAGAGATGAGGTCTCGCCAAATTACCCAGGCTGGTCTCGAACCCCTGGACTCAGACAATCCTCTCCCCTCTGCCTTCCAAAGTGCTGGGATGACAGGTGTGAGCCACCAACTCCCAGATTGTAAAAATTCTTACTGCATTTTTCTCGGGGTATTACCAGGCTGTTTATTTAAATATTCCTTTTTATCTTTTTATTTATTTATTTTTTTTGAGTTGGAGTCTCACTCTGTCACCCAGACTGGAGGGCAGTGGCCGCTCCCGGCCACCGCAGCCTCGACCTGCTGGGCTCCGGCGATCCTTCCGCCTCAGCCTTCCGAGTAGCTAAAACTACAGGCGTGCGCTACCACACCCGGCTAATTTTTGATTTATTGTAGAGATGAGGTCTCGCCAAGTTGCCCAGGTGGGTCTCGATCCCGCAGGCTCAGGCAATCCACACACCTCAGCCTCCCAAAGGTGCGGGATTACAGGCTGAGCCACGGAGCCTGGCTTATCTTTTTATTTATATATATATGTTTAGTTGGAATCTCACTCTGTGGCCCAGGCTGGAGTGCAGTGGCACGCTCACGGCCACCCCAGGGTCAACCTGCTGGGCTCAGGTGATCCTTCTGCCTCAGCCTTCCAAGAAGCTAGAACCACAGACATGCACCACCACGCCTGGCTAATTTTTTGATTTATTGTAGAGACGAGGGCTCGCCAAGTTGTCCAGGCTGGTCTCGAACCTGTAGGCTCAGGCAATCCTCTCACCTCGGAACTCCCAAAGTGCTGGGATTAGGGTATGAGCCACCATGCCCGGCCTAAGTGCTGACTCCCAGCCAGTTTTGATATTCGCACAAAAACGTATTATTCCCCTAAAAATAGAGGACGAGGAAACGTGAGGCTGTCATCCATCTGCCCGGAGACCCACACCCTGCCAGACTTTGCATGACAGCTGTCGCTGGGGACATTCCCTGTTTGGGTCCCAGACCCTTCCCAGATCACCTGCCAGATACGTTGTGGTCACAGCCCGACGCTGGGCATCCTCCCATCTGAATATCCCTGTGGCGTGTAGGAGGAGATTGTCGCACCCAAGGAGAGAGCGGAGGGAGAGGAGGAGGGTGAGGAGGAGCAGGAAGACGAGGACAGGGTGGAAGACGCACAGGAGCTTCTGGACGGCGTCAAGGACAACATGGAGCAGAGCGCAGGTGACCACGCGCCGCGGGGCCGTGCCCTCACCCGTAGAGGCTGGGCTTTTGTGTGTTTGTTTTTGGCTTTTGAGTCGGAGTCTCACTCTGTCACCCCGGCTGGAGTGCAGTGGCACCCTCAGGGCCACCGCAGCCTTGCCTGCTGGGCTCAGGCGATCCTCCCCCTCTCTTCCAAGTAGCTGGAACTACAGGCATATGCCACCACGCTCAACTAATTTTTTGATTTATTGTAGAGACAAGGTCATACCAAGTTGCCCAGGCGGGTCCCGAACCCGTGGGCTCAGGCAATCCTCCCGCCTCGGCCTCCCACAGTGCTGGGATTACAGGTGTGAGCCACCACCACCTCACCCGGTTTGGACAAGGATTCTTTTTTTTTTTTTTTTTTT